TCTGTTTATGCCTTATTTGCATAAGAATATGACCACTTACAGCCTACTATCCTCATTCAAATACATCCTGAGCTAAGGGTGTGAGGCACTTCATTAGGAGGAAATATACTGTTCACAGGTGTTTCCGTGGTCAAGTATTTATTCATTCACTCCGCACTGGTCATTTTTAACCTTCCGGAACAGTAGTCGCGTCGGTGATGTGCTGATTGTTCGGTTTTTAGGGTCAACACGAGGAGTTGATGCCTTCATCTTAGTTGGGAAGACATGGAAAATGTTGTTGATTAAAACAGCGTTGCTCCTTAGTTTCTCCTTAGTCGGTCAATCTTTGCAAACATGGAATGTCCGAGGTTCCTTTTGACCAAATTCCAGATTTACCGATTTGGTTGATCAAAATGTGGTTGCTATTTTCGTGAAGGCTTCGATATCGCAAGCTACTGCTAATGCCACGCAAAATAAGACTTGAAATGCGGCCGAGATGAACTCATTAGGCTGAAGCCACGGAGACGCATCTGTGACACGATGCTGAGACAACTTCGATTTGTTCTTAGACCTATCAACCGAGAATGAGAGATGAAGGTGGGCGGACTCATGAATTGGCAATAGACGATGCTGTTCGAAGACTGTCAGCCTCTACTCCTCTTTTCGGTTGTTTTACGTTGTCGTTCTTTGAACATAGTTGCTTTAATGACTAAATTTTGATGAGAAATTGCAAATAGCTTCTTGGGAGAGGAGAAAATAATTACCGAGAGGTTCCCACTACCCCTGTTGCACACCTCCAAGGGAAGCCCCACTTTTTTCCCACAAAGTCATGCTTGCTCTGTGCGATACTAGCATACTGTGCAATACAAGCCGAAGAGCTAGTGGATAATTTGTGGAGAGTGCTTTCCTTTTTCCCACACAGGAGTCCGAGACATCATGCCCCAAAGTCGGTGTTCGTTCCAGAATAAAAAGGGCGACCGTCTCATCCCATTCGCCTTCTCACTCTTGGTGTCATTTCCTTGGGATCCAAGTGTCAGTCACGTGATTAAAGGTGAGCTAAGTAGGGAACTAGGTTAGATTAGCAGGCTGAAATGCGTTGATCACGCCTTACTCATCCATCTGACCACTATGTCCAGCTCATTCACTCATTCTCACGGTTACCGCTTTTCTTTTTCACAGACACTGTACTAGTCCAACGTTCGTACTTATGCCGTTTGCGTGGAGTTAAGAGAGGTGACCCAAGGCACCATCAAATAGAATTATTCATTCTGTTGAAGGAATAAGCTGGAGAAGGTGTTGGGAAAATAAGGCATCAAATATGGGTTTCGTTTGCTTCCAGGTTTCACATAGCTGCTCCATTCAAGGAGACTACAAGAGGGGCAGTTAGCAGTACACTAGAATGCTGGCTGAACATTACATTTACTATTTCTTCATCTGTGTACATCCTCGACAAATCTGTTGACCGTGTGATGGGTCTTAAATGGTTCTTCTGGAAAGAATCACTTTCACGAGCTCAAATTTGCTTTAAAATCAGGCCCGTTTGACTGAAATGGCAAACTTATTCTGACAAACAGTTTAATAAACTCTCTTGACAACCAAATGCAACTTTTTTCCCCTATTTTCATTCCACTTCGGGTAATTAGCAATAACAGCAAGGAATGGGGTGGGAGACAAGACGCGAAAAAAAAAGGAAACATACAGACTGAGCTATCAAGCAAACAGGCAACCAAAATGGGTGCACAAATGGCGTCATATACAAAGATGACGAGTTAGGAGGTGACAAATCCAATGACGAGGACAACACAGGTAGGATCACTCTCCACCCTCGTCTTCATCTGCAAAACCAGCCCACTCGGTCTTGCCATCGGAGCCCTCGTACTCGGCCGTGTGACCAACTTGATGAATGCCCAATCGCAGTGATGGGGTTCCGTGCCCCTTTCCTATACACATACACACAGGGAGTTTGAGCCAAACTGGACCTTTCAAATACACACAAAAGTTTAATCGTAAAGTTGGGTCCGCAAAATTGGAACAGCTGATGTACACAACATGAACCAGTTCCTTTCAAATATTGTTGAGGAGGATGGAAGACTGACTCAGCAGTTAGCTTGCCCGTGAATCAGGGTCTTGAACTTCAAGCCACCAAAACAGCAACTATTTACTCTTAGAAGGCAAGTATTGCGCAAGGCATGTGCCGAGGATTCAGAAAACGTTCAAAGTAAGTGCACTGGAGCAAGAATGGATGGAGAGGTGT